ACGAGATGAGGCAGGATAAAGAGGGATAATCCCCCTCGATCCCAAATCATTGAGGCCAATTTCTAGCCATAGAATAATGGCGCGGTCAAGTGGCTACAACGGACGGATCCGTGATCGCGTATGCAATTATGCATGTGGATCGAGGCTTAAGTAGGGATGCACGATACTTAGGAAAGTACCGGTACCGGCGTATCGTATTGTATCGCTTAAAAAGTACCGATCCCGTGCGATACTGGACAAAAAATACCGGTACGCAAAAAACCGGTACATTTCCGATCCGTCATTTTATTTTAGTGATGGGCATAATCGACCAATTTTGATAATCGAGTTATCGGTAATCGAGTACTTCTAATAATCGAGTGATCACTCGAGATACGAGATATTGGTCGTTTTCATCCCAGCGGCGCACAAATATGTTTGTATTAGTCATATATTACTTATAAGCGTAGCTAAAAAAAAAAAAAAGCTCACGCACTTCAAAACCTAACCACTTTTTCGTTTTATTCTAAAAAAAGGCTACGCAATCAGTGACTATTTGCAGTATGCACTAACATTTTGGGGTGCAACCGTAGGGTAATAATCACTCGAGTGGTGGGAGTAAACATCTCGAGATATCTCGAATGATCTCAATAATCGAGTACCACTCGATTTTTCACTCGAAATCTCCCATCACTATATTTAGCTTTTTAAAAATGAACATTTATTTATGGACTTTTTTTTAATACTTACTTATTAAGTTTATAAACAAAAATATAAATTAACAAAAATAAAATGAATCTGATTTCCAATGAATAAATTGGAATAACATACTTATATGTATATAAATATGTATTACAAACATAAAGGGTTTAGCCAAGTGTGACAAGTCAGCCCCCAAATGACGACTTCATATTGAAGCATGTTTTAATATTAAGTTGATATACAAATGCTATTCATGTTTTGCCGCCACACTCTGCTTTAATCTTAAGATATGGAAAAAAAATTAGGTTTTAGGTAATCTTAAAGAGCATATTTTATTTATTTTTTTAATTTCTCGAATAAATACACACATCATTAAAAAAAAAGAGGGCAGAGCACAAGTTTATTCAGAAAAAAGAGGTTAAGAGATGATAGCGCTGCATGGTCAACGTTTTTGATTCTTTATGGAAGAGAAACAAAAAGTTTTTAGGTTTCGACACAAAATTTTTATGGGTAATATACACATATTTTAATGTTTTGAAAAACCTACAAAAAAAATATCATTGAGGTTACCTTACCTTTCTACCTCAATTAGTATGTCTCTTTGAATGATAGTCGTACGTTAATTTTTTTCCATATCTCAAGGTTAAAGCGGAGTACATCAAGTCGATATTAAAACATAAGGGTAACATATAGGTTGCAATTTGAGGGCCGACCCTTTACATGTTCCATTCTACTACTTCTAATGAACTTAAAAATAACAATTTTGAGAGTCGGTTTCCACTTAAGTCTATTTCGACAGTGAGTCATAAGAGCTCCTGCTTTTGAAAACAACCTTTCAGAAGGAACTGATGTTCCTACAATTGAAAGATATTTGAAGGCAATTTTTCTTAATGCATCACTAACCATCACACTTTTCCAAAATAAGAAAACATCAGTTGTTAGTAAAGGTTCTATTGGCTGCTTGAAATATGTTTTAAGATCGCAATATGTTCCTTCATCTTTTTCAGCTTGAATGTCAATGTCTATGGAATTTTTTGCTAATTCTACATGATATGCCCAAACACTGTCGGATTTATGTATTTTTTCTGTAGTTTCAACAGCAGGTACTGATTTTTTGGGTATATCATATTCTTTGCATATATTACTAATACATTTTACTGCCTGAGAACAAGCTACAAAATCATTAAAATGCAACTTTTTAAACCGAGGATCAAGCAGTGTTGCAATGGCAAGTAGTCTAACTTGTTCTATTACCCCAAAACGGTGTTTCAGTTCTTTAATTGCGCAAGTAAGTAGTTTTTTTGCCTCCTCTGTTGATGTATCCAAATGTTGCATTGTCTTAAAAAGACAATTTATTATAGGAATGATTTTGCTCCCGGTTAAATATTGTTCGCCACAGATCTCCTTTGACACCTGTTCTATAGGTTTAAGTATTTGAAGAACTTCCCTTACAATTTCTATTTCCATTCCCTGTATCATAGATGGGCCTTTACTGTTCTCTAATAAAATTGGTGCAATATATGTTGACAGTTTTAGGAACCTCTCTAACATATAATAGACAGAATTCCATCTAGTAGGTACCGACTGGATTAATTTCAAAAAGTCTTTTCCTTGAGCTTTTCTTAATTTATCAGCATCAATAACACTTTGCTTAAAGTGTGTTACAATACTCTTAATTTTACTGACTATATCCCTTACCTCTTCAGTTTCATAAACAATTTTAGAAGCAACTAGGTCTAGGGTATGGGCAAAACATGGCAAATGTTTGTTTTTTCCAAAAACATTTGAGACGGCTTTAACAATATTACTTCCATTATCTGTAACGACAGCAGTTATCTTCTCAAGTGGAATGTTCCATTCCTCACACACTGTTCTTAAACAATTTCCTAAATAGTCCCCCGTATGATTTTCAGATAACTCATAAACACCAATTGCTATGCTATTTAATTTATTGTCAAAGTAAAAATGAGCAGTAACTCCTAAAAAGCCTACTGTATTTAATATTTCTGTCCATACATCTGTCGTTAATGTAATATTCTCAACTTCACTTAATTTATTTTTTATTAACAAAGACAGCACCTCATATTTAGTATCGATCAATTTAGTAATAGAGTTTCGCCCTGGTATTTTGTACAATGGTGCAATGGTTTTCATTAAATGTTTGAATCCTTCTTTGTCTGTGCTGTTTAGAGGCATATTATCTTTTACGATCATAAAAATTATTGCACTAGTTATTCGTTGCGATTTTTCACCTCCTATTAGAAAAAAAAACAATGTGATAAATGTATAATCAAATTATTAATATATCTACCTGAATACGAGTTTATGGCATCAAATGATTCTGAAACAAGTGGCTGAGAATACCGAGATGGCTGAGGAACTGAACTTAATTTCCATGCTGCAGATACTTCAGAAATGTGACTGTTGTTGCTATTAGTAGACATATTGCTGGTAATATCAGTGTCAGTATCACAATTGTTAATATCAACATCTGCCGATTCACTTATTCCTATACTAATATCTCCATCTCCTTGTGTACTTGGATCTTCATTTAATATTTCTGGATTCTATAATAATGACTGAAGTTAACTTATTTAATTTAAAGAAATTTATGTACTTACCATTACCTTGTTAGACATAACTTTAACTTTAATTGGTTCAAGATTATAATTTCTATGTCGTCTTGTTAAATGCTTTCTTAAATTCGTAGTGCCTTCCGAACTCTTAACGTTACACTGACATAGTTTACATTTCCCTCCAAAATCCGTCTTAATAAAAACCTTCCAAATGTTACTTTGTAACCGCGCGCCATTATTCTATGGCTAGAAATTGGCCTCAATGATTTGGGATCGAGGGGGATTATCCCTCTTTATCCTGCCTCATCTCGTGTAGGCCT